GAGGCGCGGGGTCGGGTCGCTGTGGGTGTCCCGCGGCCCGTTTCATAACGACCCTTTGGTTTTGCCTTTGTGCGTGGCCCCTTCCTCCTCCCGTAGTTTCCCGGGCTCTGGGGGTTCTCTGGGTTTGGAGATCTTATTTATTTATTTATTTATTTTCGGTGAGATCATCTTGGCTGGAGGCTGCATGTGACAGAAATGCTGAACAGCCCTGGCGCTCGGGGAGCCTTCCTCATCCAAACTGTAGTCTTGCTTGCAGTCGGGTGGTAGCCTTTCAGAAAACCGAGTTCCTAATTGAATTGGGGGTAGTAATTCGTGGAAGGAAGCCAAAACATAAAAGCCTAACGTGTATATATATATATATATCACATAGATAACAATCAATGTAAATCTTCAAGAATGGCCCAGAGTGACTGAATTAAGAACTAAAGGAGTTAGTTTTGGTTGAAAATTCTAGAAAATGTAGATAAACTGTTGGCATGTGGCCCCTTTTTCTTTGCAAAGGAAGAGCAATCCTGAGTCATAACTGGCTTTCGATTTCAGGTTTTTACATCTGAGTAGTTAATACCCTTCAGCTTTTCAATGCTCTCAAGTATTTTACGTGCCAAAGTACTTCAGTTTGATGCGGTTAATACCCTTCAACTTTCACTACTCCGAAACATTTTAAGTGCCAAAATACTTAGTTTTGATGGCATTTGATAAATATGGAGAGTAGTTGTCATCGTGCAGTTATGTTAAACAGATGGGAAAACTGAACACTTCACGCTTCTTACTGCTTCTGAGTGAGTCATTTAAAGAGTGTGACTAATCATCCTACTGTACAGTTGTCAACAAACCAGTAATTTTTTTCTACCGCCCACAAAATCTGAAGAAGAGATTTCCAGACTTTATCTGTAGATGAGAAATGAAAAGTAAAGAACCTCTCTTTTGAGGAAGAGTTTAAATTTTGATTGAGGGGGGACTGCATGTGATGGACTCTTCATGTTAGGAATTTGTGTGTCAGTTCTTTCCTGTGCAGCAATATAGTGACGTACCCAGCAAGTTGGCTAACCTACCATGGTTATTGTCAGGCAAACGGTAACACACGAGTTGTTTTAAGGCTTTCATTCAAGTAGCAACCTTACATGAAACTAAATGAATTTTATGTGTTCTCTTTCTCCTCCCTGCTTTACCTTTGTCAAGTTGTAAGTCGTCTAGGACAGAGGCACTTTAATCTTCAGTGGAGTGTGGGTTAGGCATTTTCATGGTAATAGTAAGTGACCAGAGTCATCAGGGTGATAATAACGCTCTGTGGTTGGGGAGGGGGGTACAACTGCATTTGTTTTGAGGAAACCAGGGCAGTGGGACAAAGAGCTGGCTGAGAAATCTGTGTTTAGAAATGTGATCTAGGAAGTGACCTGATTTGAACGTAGCTCTTGTGGGAGATGGAAGTCAGCAGTTACCTACAGCTTGTGAGGCTGAGCCAAGAAGGCAACGCTAAATTTCAAACCCCCACAAATATTATGGGAACAGAAAACGTCTTGTAAGTGTGCAAATCTGCATACTCGGATTGGATTTAGGTTAAGCGAGTTAAAGAGCTGGGAGGGAAGTATTAAATACATCAAAATGCCATATTGGACCTTGGAGGCAGATGAGTGGAAAGTTGACTGGGAAGAGGTGTTTAGAACTGCAGTTACCTGGGGTGGGGAGAAGTAGCGTATGGGATGGAAAATGAGGAGACCAAGGATGCATCAGAATGGATCCCACAAAGAACATGAGAGGTATATTAAATGTATGCCAGCTTCTGCTGTTGGCAAATACATTTTCTGGTTCTGCTTATCTGTTGGCAGCATTGATAAAGATTTGTTCTTTATTGAATGTATGTCTAATGGTTGGTCTGTTTGTTGTCTCATGACCTTTCCTGTCAAGATTTAGTTACTGATCAGGAGTGTAGTGAGAATGCTGTGCTGTGTTTTCCCATAATTCATACTTGAATTGACTTTGGTATGTTTGTGAACTGGCCAGAAAAAGAGAAAAAAAAGTATTTACCCAGTAATTTCCTCTCCACACACAGGCAGAGTGGTGCCATATGGTTGGGGGTTTGGTTGGTTTGGGTTTTTTTGGTTGCTTGTTTTGTTCTTTTTTCTGGCCTGGTGATCTCCTGTTTAAAGAAGTGACCTCTCTTTGTCAGGTGTCAACTCAGCAGGTGTTACAGATAGCTTTTGTTAAACAGGAAGCCCCATTGGAAGGATGATGCTTTTTCTTCTTTCAAATTGAGCATTGAAGAATGTGTTTTGTTTAGAAAACAGAAAAGCTGGGGAGTGGTCTGAGAGCTGATGGGCCCAGGATTGAGTCCTAACCACGGAGAGGTGGTAATGGCACAGAAATCAACAGAGATGATGCCTTTTCCTGACACTGGAAGGTTATTCATGCTTTCTAACAGTGTGGTGCCACTGGTTCAGTATTTGGAAAGTGATGAAGAACTGTGGGTGAAGTATAGCCCTTTCTCTTTTACACCAGTTTTCTGGAGATGGGTACCCCTTTGCTAGCTAATCCTTGGATTAGAGAGTGCAATGAAAATATACAAGTAATGTAAGAATGTTGAAAGAGTCAATTCTACCAAAAAGGAATCTGTAGGCTTCATGCTCTGTGAGGGGTAGTACTGGCAGAGATACTCATAATAGTCTTACCTGCATACCAGGAAATGTCTAAATGTTTCAGGTGGAAGATAGTCTTCTCTAAAGCAATAGTTGTGGTTGTCGGAAGTCCGTGCTGGGTAATTACAGTCCAATTATTCAAGAATGATGTTTTCAATGACATTTTTGCTTTTAAAATACTCCACCCTGCTGTTATATTTTACTTGGGAGAAGGAGAACAGATTTTATATTATTCCTTTAGATTTCTAAAATATCCTTATTTAGCTAAAAAAAATAAAAAGTGTAATTTCTTTTTTTTTATTTCAAAGTTGCTGTACCAACTGGTGTGTCCTTTCAGTGAGCAAAGGGGACTTCTAGGTATTTTTCAGCAATAGAAGCAAGATAATGGCATAACAAACTACACCGTTGACTTGGCAAATAGCATGGTTCTTCACCTCAATCATCTTTAGCTATTAATAAACTAATGTCATTGGAAATGCTGGGAACGTTTTACTGTAAATTAGGTAAATACTTACTGTAATTACTTTGCTGTCTAACCTCCTGCTTTTGTTCAGGATAGCCTGGCATTATCATTATGGATCACTCTCGGCACCGCGCAGGAAATGGCAATGAGCAGGCGTCTTCACGGGAGCATCGCCGTGGTGAGGATGAGAGACAGCGACAGCTGGAGCGCCTCAGCAGGGAGGAGGCCTATTACCAGTTCATTAATGAACTCAATGAGGAAGACTACAGGTTAATGAGAGACCGCAACCTGCTTGGCACTCCCGGTAAGGCACGGATACCTTCAGTAGAAACCACGTAATGGGAAGAAACGCTACTGCTGTCAGGCACTGCGTGTGGTTGTATGACTTCAGTAGCTTGCCTTCTGTGGCTATGTAGAAAGGAAAAACCCCCTCCATCTCCATTCAAAATTAATGACACTCAGTAAAAACGAACCACTTAAATACGTGCTAAAGCGGGGATAAAAATATAACTCTTTCAAATGCAACATCTCTGTGTAAAGGTAATAATCCAAACACAAATAATTAACATCTGGTACACTAAAGTGTATCTGTTGGTATGTGGCAGTTTTGGGGACCTCTGAGTTATTACTGGAAGTTGGCATGACACACATTCAGCATCTTTTTTTCGTCCACCCCACTACCTGCTTCCTCTGTGTACCCATGTTACAGTCTCACACTAGTGCTGTTTTCTTTTTGGTTTCATTAATTTTACCTTGTTCCCAAAGATTTTTGTTCCTGAAGTAACTTATAATAAATAAATTACTGTTATTTCTGCATGGCTGTGTTGAGCCAATAATAATGTCTTATCTAACAGGGTTGTCAAAATGTAAACTATTTCAGGGGAAATAACAGCAGAAGAGTTGCAGCAACGCTTGGAGGGGGCTAAGGAGCGTCTGGCATCGCAGGCTGATATGGATAACAGAGAAGGTGAAGGTAGAACTGCTGGAGGTAAACATTCTTCATTCATAGATACACATAGTATGTGATACACAAATATCGTTTTGTACAGGTATTTAACAGAAATGCTGATGGATTTCAGTAGCAGCCATTTCAAGTCTTGTTTTCTCATTGTACCTCTCTGGATTATTCTAAAAAGTAAGAGAGATTTCCTAATGATATGAAAACAAACTTGAAACTTAATGAAATCTGATTTATGTCAACCACAGATTACTTTCTTCTCTTTTCTTGTTTCCCTTTGCTAGTCAACTTAATAGCAGAAAAATAATTTATTCCAATTCTTAAAAGGTTTTATCATGTATTAGAGAAGTTGGAATAGAAGAGAAGTTAATTGGCAAATAGTTGATCTCTCCACTGTTTTGTTGTTTTATTCCTGTTTGGTTTAATGGCTTGTATTATGTGCACTGTCTGTCTTCACTTTCCCAGCAATGCTGGCTTAATCATTTGGCCAATTCTAGTTAGATTCAGGAGAGCAATAGGCAACTCTGAAGCAAAGATACCAAAGTCCTTGCAGGTTTCATGAAAGCAGGAGCATGACGGAAGACAGAGACCTCAATCTGATCCCTTCAAGGGAAAACCTTCACTGTGATCATGACTGTTGGCTTGTTTGATACACATAGTTAGCACTAACCACAATTTTGTCTGTTCTTGAGCTTGTACTTGGAAGAGATTTGGGAACAGATCTGTGGGTATTGTAGGAACAGATCTGTGAATACTGTAGGAAAAGTCTATGCACAAAAGGAGCAAACCTGTCAAGGCCATGCATCATTTATTCCACTGCTTATAGAAAACAACTTTTTTATAATGTTTTCCATAAGAAGACAAAATCCGTCATAGTTTTCCTTGCTTTATTAAAATTAGTTGACCAGGGTGCCCTCAAATAAATAGCTTAAGCGAGGGCTGGATATTGGACAAGTACAACTAGCTTTCTGTTGCCAGAAGAGGCCATCTGGGTGCATTCATTTCTCTGTGTATCTGCTGGTGAGATGAAAGTTCTAGTTTGAACTGATGAGTTTTGCTGACATTTTTGCATACAGCATGTTTTCAGCAAAGTGATGTTAGCACGGCAGGTAGTTGTGCTGCTACTGTGTTGTTTCTGAAGTTGTGGCCCAGCAAGCACAGGGGATTTGGAGCACATCGTAGTATGCCAACCAGACAGTTGTATGAACATTTGCAATTCTTTGTTTCTCTCAGATTCCGATGTTCTTGGAGAAAACTCAAATGGTGACTCTCTGCTTGAATGGCTGAACACTTTTCGTCGCACAGGCAATGCCACTCGCAGTGGGCAGAGTGGAAACCAAACCTGGAGAGCTGTGAGTCGAACAAATCCAAACAGTGGGGAGTTTCGATTTAGTCTTGAAATCAACATAAATCATGATCATAACAGTTTTGAAACTGCTGGTGAGGCGTATATGGGTATAGATACTAGCAGAATGTATTTGGAAAGAAGATATCAAAGACCTGTCAGCCCAATACCCCCACGAACGAGGAGCAGGACCACAAGAGAGGCAAACAACGAGGCTTCAAGCACTGCAAGGACCAGGTCTGTAAGAAGTTCTGTGGCACAAAGCTCTGAAGCAGCCTCTGATCCAGTCTCCGGGAGGCTCAGGAGCAGAACAAGAGAGTTGTCAGGCCTTTCCCAGTCAAATACTACACGTAGTAATTCTGCAGCTGCTGGTGAACGAAGAGAAACACCTGGAAGAGGTACTTCTGCAGGAGTCACAAGAGGTAGAGCTAGAACTAGTGTTCGGATGAGTGCAAACCAAAGACTAGAAATTCTGCGGCTGAGGTCTACTTTAAGTAGTCGAAGCCGCTCTCCATTGCAAAGGCAAGGTGATACTGCTCGTTCTGAGGAACATGGGCAGAGGCAGGATAGAAGTGCACAGCAGGTCAGCAGGAGTAGAAGACAAACATCTCAGCCTTCTTCACAGCCTGCCGAAGAACAAGCAAGAGGTAATACTCAGACTCCTCAGCTTTCCAGCGTAGCCCCATCCTTGGGAATAACTTTGGAAGAGGAGGAATCTAGTAGTAGGCCAGTAGCTGCTGTTAGAAGGCATCCAACAATTACATTAGATCTTCAGGTGAGAAGAATTCGTCCTGGAGAAAACCGAGATCGGGACAGTATTGCCAGCAGAACTCGTTCTAGAGTAGGAATGGCAGAAAACACAGTTACCTTTGAAAGCGACAGCGGGGGGTTTCGGCGTACGATCTCGCGGTCGGAGCGTGCGGGTATTCGCACCTACGTTAGCACTATACGGATACCTCTCCGCCGGATCTCAGAAACAGGGCTTGGCGAGCCTTCCTCAGTGGCTCTGCGATCAATCCTTAGGCAAATTATGACAGGCTTCGGAGAACTGAGTTCATTAATGGAAACTGAATCTAACTCCGAAGTGCAAAGAGGTGGTCATCACTTACCGGATGTACAGTCAGAGCAGAGTAACTCAAGTTCAGCAAACAATAGCAGTGATTCAAATGAGGTTTCATCTAGGAATGGGCGCACAGTGGAAGGCAGCAGGGGAACAAATGGACAGAGTGATGATACTCAACGCTATGGTCACAATAATGAAACCCCAGATAACAGGCAGTCCCAAGATGCAAACAACCTCGTGGAAAATGGAACACTGCCCATACTCCGGCTTGCCCACTTCTTCTTGCTGAATGAAGAAGATGATGACGATCGTTTAAGAGGTTTAACCAAAGAGCAGATTGACAATCTTTCTACACGGAACTATGGGGATATTCACACTGAAAATGAAATAAGTAAAACGTGTAGTGTTTGCATTAATGAGTATGTAACAGGGAATAAGCTAAGGCAGTTACCTTGTATGCATGAGTTTCATATTCATTGTATTGATCGCTGGCTTTCTGAAAACTCTACTTGCCCCATCTGTCGGCAGCCTGTGTTGGGGTCTAATGCCACAGACAATGGCTAGAATGATTTATACTGCTCAGTACTCAAGGATTTGCTTCTGCTCTATTTATGATGAGCCAGGTGGAATGAATTGACTTACCTAGGGGTCCATTTGTGTGGGGAGTTTTGTTAATTTTCTTTAAAAAGAATAGGAAACTTGTCTAAATCTAGCAATGTAAATACTATTTTTCTCCAAATGCAGATCTAGGAGTACACATAGAACCAAATGATACTGGTAAAGTTTATATTTTTTTAGGTAATTTTGTTATGCTAAGCACTTTTGTAAATACAGAAATGCAATAGTTAATCAGTCCTGCTTAATGTATGTTTTTTTAACAGTGTAATGGACTCACTTTATTTAGATTACAAATTGTTTCACACAGACCCACCACTGTGTTGAAAAATTAGTGTCTAAATAGCCATTCATTAGCTTTTTGTTCTAAGAACAATTTCTTTTACAGAGAGTTTCTTGCTGGACATGTTTGCTAAAGATATTTAAGTTACTTGAAGTGCTCATTTGAATAGACTATATTTTTTTTAACATTGAAATATCCTTTCCAAAAACTTGCCAATTTGGTTCTACTTAAAAAAAAAAAAAGAAAAAAAAGGCAATTTTTGCATGTGGTTTTACACAATGCTTAATGCTGATGAGTTCTTATGCAAAAGTGGATGGGTTAGTGACGTTATGAAATGTACATAGGAAAATGCTGTCTTTGACAATCTCTGTCTTTTCGATGCAGACAGCAATCAAAGCAATGATAATTGAAGAAGGTGTGTCTTACTGAACATGATACTTGCTCAAAGAACAAATGAGCACCGAGGAAGCCTTTTTACTCTTCCAAATGACTCAATTAATGTTAATGGGGTTTTAACTGCCTTAGTTTAAAGAAGGAAGTATTTCCTTGACCATTATATTGTCTACAATATGCATGATTTGTGCATCCTACTCAGAAAAACCAAACAAAGGCTTGAAGTGGTTTTGTACAGGAATTTAAGGTACACGTACAATATTCGTCCTCTTAAAACACGTCAGAGGACCAAATGGCAAAAGACACTAAAAAAGACAATAAGCTTCCCTTAAAGTCCCCAGATTACTGTATAATTAGATATTAATCTTTATACCAATAACTTATAAAGAAATAAAGTTGCAAAGTAAATAATTGAGGCTTTGTGTGAATTACTGTTGAGCCTTATCCTCTAAATGGGTAAAAGGATTTATCATTCTTGATGTTTGGTCTCAGTTTTCACTTTATATTCTTTCTTCTTTTTTCCCCAGTTGTGTACGTGTGCTTCCACGATGCGTGTTTTCTGTTATGGTAGGTAAAAACGCAAGGCGAAGCGCTCTTGGGGCTTCTGGAAGTTATCTGGTTGTTCCAAAGCTCCTCTTCTGAGCAGTGTGCATCTCGAGCCTTAGAGAAAGGCAAAACTATGCAATACTCTTCTGTGTGTATATTCTGAACTGTAGGAAGAATACCTGAAGTGGAAAAAGTCCTGCTGGTTTTCCCTGCCTATAGGTGGCCTTGGCAAATGCACTTCAGTGCCAGGTGCTTCTCTTAAAACATCTGCTCATGGCACCCTTGAAGGCAAATAATAAAATCCTGTGTGAAGCTACTGGATGTTTGCAAGTGAGGAACTTATGTCAGAAGTGCTTGTTTTTATTCCTGAAAGTAGTTCTTAGAAATTCTCGTATGAGATTTAGATGAGTTTAGGATATGATTAAGATCTCTTCTGATGTGATTTGGACTGCTAATTATTGCAGACGTCATTGACACCTTTCTTGAGTGCCTCCTTAGCTGTATTAAAGAGTGGGGAGATTTAAATGTGGTTATCAGAGCTGGGTTGGTTTTTTTACATTATATTTTCTGTTACTTCTGTTAGCGTCTGATGTTGACATTATCTAAATACATGGGTGCCTTCTGCTACTTCCTTTTCTCCTGATGGTTTTCCTTTATATTTGAAAGCTGCCTGACTCAGTGCCACACTTCTAGAAACCTGCCTTTGGCTCCCCATTGCCTTGCAGCGTGGTTCTCTCAAGGTCAATTTTAACTTAAATCCTTACTATAGGGGATTTTTATTTGTACTGCATTTTTCTAACTAACTAGTTGGAATCCTGCTCAACTGCCAGTCTTACGCACTGGAGAGCAAGGGTAATTGAATCCCCATACCTTCTATTCAGATGGGATTTTGCTGTGTAACCAACTGTAAGAGCAGAATTTCACATGGTTCAAGACAAGATCCTGTGTGACAGGTACTTGTAACTGAGCTGCTGAGGGAGATATCCAAAAGGACAGTGAGAGCTTTCCATAGAAATCGTAGGCCATTGGATAAGGAACATCAAGTCTCCCACACTATGTTCCTGTCCTGCTGCTTGGGAATTGGCAAGTGTTTGCCCTCCGTTGGAGGGACGTGTGGTTTGTTCCTCCGCTTTCCCAGGAAATTGTGTTAACAGGACCAACTAAACCGCAGCGGTTCCATTTGGTGTTGGCTTCTGTTACCTGTATTCCCGTGACATTTTGTACACAAACGTATTAAAGGTACAGATGTCCAGAAAATGGATTGGATACAAAAGTGTTTGAACCCCATTTGTTACTTAGAACAAAGATCAGTGGTTCCTGTTCTATCTAAAATGGAGTTCTGAAAGTTGCAGTTACTAGAGTTTGGAGATTTCAGTATTTGCAGCTGGGTCTTGCTCAGTTCTTTTCCACAAAAAGAATAGCAAATCCTAGTGTTCAGGTTGTGGATTGCTGCAGGTTTGTTCTGTTCTTTTTTTCTCCCCCACCTTGTAAATCTTCACAGTTCTCTTTTACTAAGATGCAAATGATCCAGTAATCCGCTGTGAACCTTCCTCCTCCTGGCTCTGCAGCATAATCCACATTTTCTCATGGACATTTTCGTTTAATGCAGTTGACTTTCAGCTCCCAGTTAGAAGCTTTCCCACGGTAAAGCGCTCAGCTTGTTCTAACGGCACCCACTAAGCACATTTCTTTTTCTCCCTTCTCAAAGTAACACTTCAGCTCCTGGGGAGCTGTACGTGTCGCCCTTGCTGAGCTCGGCTTCATGAACGTGTTCACGTGCTCCTGACTGACTGTGGCTTGTGCTGAAGGCAGCAGGAGCTGCTACTTCCAAGCTGAGTTTCTGTGTTACAGGAACACATCTTGATCTCAACACTGTACTCTGTACAAGAAACCTCACAGATAAATGTGGGCTCTCCTGTATTTGTTGGGTTGATTTGGCAGCAGTAACCTATACATATTGGCAGGTCCACACGCTTACTTTCCTTGCACAATTTCCAGCATCAGCTGTTTTATGAGGGGTTCACCTGCTGGACTGATTCTGCACTGCTCAGGCTTGCGTTTTAAAACGTGGGATGATTTGGTCATCTGTGCAGTTCCTGCCTGTCAGTTGAGGTGAAAGTTAGCTCTTACTGCTTTAAGGACTTACACTGGAAAGTTTGTGTTACCATGCATTTGTGGTGCTGAGTTCTGGCCGTTCCCAGGCATGCAGAGAAGGTCGCCATGCCTGCCCCAAACCTTCCACCCTGTGAATGTGATCATGAGGGAAGAAGATAATGAGAAACTAGGGACAGTGAGAAACGGGTGACAGTGGAGCTTACAAAGCAGCTGGGAGCAGGTCACAGGAAGTATTGGGTAGGAGTGTAAAGGGATTATCTTCAGCAGCTTCTGAGGCCCAAGTTGAGGTGTAGAACCAGTGGGAGTGAGAGATGGAGGGCAGGCTGACACTGCAGAAGTGCATTGAGATGCTCTCAGGAGGCTCCTGGAGGCTTCTGCTGAAATAAGGAGCAACTGGATGTGCATGTCCCCTCATGTATTATTGCATGGGCCCTAAGAGCACAGCTAGAGACTGTTGTTTAACCTGTGAGGGATCAAAGAAGCTAGCACCAGGTGTTGAGCCCAGTTGGCCAGCCAGCTGGTCCAGCTCTTGGGACTTATCCATCTCTCGCCCAGAAACCCAATGCAACATTAGTGCCTGGTTGCCCTTTTGTCGTGGTTTAAGCGGTTCCCAGGCTGAAAGTCAAAAACACAGCACTACACCAGCTACTAAGAAGGAGAAAAAATGACTGCTGTAGCTGAACCCAGGACAGCTTCAGACTTTGAGATGCTGAACACCTGAAGATCTGGTTGTATGCCTTCTAATTGCAGCTGAATAAATGGCGAGAGGGGGCAATCAGAGTTCTATTTTTCATAGTCCTCTCTGATCTGGAAGAGCCAGAACCCACCCTGGCTACAGGAAGCTTTTCGGATTCATCATCTGTGCAGCTCAAGTTCTTCTACCCAGAGTTTGCACAACAGAAGGCATAAACACATTACAGATGGATATTTTTATGGTGGCTTTCCCCATCCAGTGCAGGTTACAGCAGGATCACAGCAGCAGCGTGAGGTGTAGCCAGGCCCCAGCGGGTCCTTACAGCCTCGCCGATGGGCAGGTGATGTCTGTGACACTCACCATGGTGCCATGTCTTTGCTGTACCTGGTGTCAGCATGATTAGGACAGGGGAAGGGAGGTACATCTCAGCATGTGGTGGTGTTTGATTTGCTGAGCGGGCAGCTTGGGTGCTAACAGTCCAAAATGAAGCAGCGCTTGCCGGCGGCAGCAGTGGGGGCTGTGGCAGTGCAGGGGTGCCAGCTCCCAGCCATGCAGAAGGCGGAAGAAGGTTTTCAGCAGCAGCACAGACTCTCTAGCCAAAGGGACAACGGTCCCCTTCTGGCATGGACTGAGAATGCCAACTTGTGAGGCTGCACCTTACGTGGAGCAAGTCTGCCTTGCTGAATCATCTCACTGTGAAGGATAAAATACAGGGAAGATCTTACAAGAGGCTATGTAAAAGAAGTAATGACTTGATATTTAATGGGTGTAAGAGACTCGAAGCCGTACAGTTAATGACAGTCAAGAGAATGGGGTGCTCTTAGGTTGGGGTTATGAACTTCTGACAGAGCCAGACCACTGGTGGCACTGGTGCACAGTGTAAGGGAAAAGACAGCTGAGCATGCAGAAGCAAGATGT